TAAGATAAATTGTACTATATATACACCCCCGTGAGTGCTTTTTTCCCTCCTCAATGTTTTTAGGGGACACCATAATAATCAAGCTGATGAATAGCTATAATTCATGTATCTTCCACTACTGCATAGGAGTCTATGAGAATATAAATGGACGGTAATCTGTCCATTCTTATAGTGACAGACATATGGCTGGTCCTAATTATCTTACTTTAATAATGCTTCAACAAGGAATCTGGTGTGCACACATAAGCAGTTCTTAAATCTAGTATTCCTAGGAGTGTAATTTCATGCTTGTCTTTAAATTTCTCATTTTTCTTAATCTTCATACCATTTTAATAATTCTTAATCATTTTTTACTTGCTATATATTATCTCAACCAGAGTATGCATTAAGCTATCTCTCTATTGTGAAACATCTAGAATTTTCTCCCATTTTAGAAACTTTGCACAGGCTGGAAAATAAAAAAAAAAAGTAGAAGTCTCTGCTGTTTTAGGTCCTGGAATTTTTTTTTTTTATGTCAAGACAAATTTACTAACTGAACCAATTAACATTCCATGGGAGAATATCTACTGTTAGAAAAAAAAAAAGAAGTATTCTCCATCTAGGCAGTTGTTAATCCTTAAACTCAAAAGTGAAAATCAAACAAATAAATGAGAGCTAGATCTATAATTTTGAAGGGTTTCTCAAACCCTCTGAAGCCTGTATGTTGATGGTGCTATTGCATATGAAATATTGTACTTCTCTTAGTCTACCTGTGTTCATATAAAGAAATACCTAAGGCAGGGTACTTTATAAAACTTTATTTAAGTACCATTTCAGGAAACTCAAGGGCATGGTTGGCATTTGCTTGCTTCTAGGGAGGGCCTCACAGTAGATGGCACTAAAAAGGGTAGGGAAAATTCAATAGTGACCAGCAGCAAACATAGAGAAAGGATAGGACTCACCTAGCAAGCTGCTGTCTTGGGACCCCCTTGTGAGAGGAAGCACACACTTCCATGATAAAAGCATCAATACCTCTTAAGAACTGGTCACCTCCCACTGAGCCCCATCTTTTAAAAGATTTCATCACCTCCATACTGCTATCCTCCTGGGGGTGAAGACAGTACAGGAATTCCTAGGTAGACCAATTCTACAGGAACTCTAGCACCCTACCATAACATTACCATACCTAGCCCAGTAAGTTCATAAACCAACTCTGCCTGGTTGTAAGAAAAACAAGGCTACAGAGGAAGGCAGGATTAAAGGCCTTTTCATTCAGGTGCAGCAAAAAGTATTCATATTATTTCAAATATTAAGAAGCAATAAGCTCTCTACCAAAGGGCTGTGAAGAATGAACATTCTCAGGATGTTATAGGTAGGGGAAACAACCCTGGTAAAGGAAAAAGTTCATAAGATGAATATATATGGGAAATTATACATGTGCTGAAAGTGGTAGATTTGAATGGTAATATGAGCATGAGAAAGAGCTGAGAGTCCTTATTAGGGACAGAAATTAAAATATCAATATACATGATTTTAGCAGTTGATCTGAAAGCACAAAGGGAAACACAAAACTTCTCCTCCCAAACATTTTATTACAAAAGCTTCCTATTGCACACATAGTAAACAGTCTGCTTTTATCCTATAACTGTGCCAAGTGCAGTACTCAACTCGGCAGCACACAGGGTTTTTTTGTTTGGGGCATGCACATGTGTGTATGTGTGTGTGTGTGTGTGTGTGTGTGTGTGAGTGTGTGTGTACATTTGAGGATGCAAGTAGATGCATGTGCACATATGTACTTGGGAGTGTGTGTGGAGGTCCAGAGGTTGGTATCAGATGTGTCCTTGTAGTGTTTTTTATTTTTTGACACAGGGTCTTGCACTGACCCTGTAGTTCACTGATTTGCCTGGATCAACTGGCCAGAGAGCTACAGGGATCTGCCTGTGTCTGATTCCACAACATTGGTATCACAAACAGACACTGCCATATGTGGCCCTTTATGTGAATTCTGGGGATCTGAACCCAAGTCCTCATCTATGTACAACAAACACTGATGGAACCATCTGCCCAGCTCTGGCACATCAGTTTGAAAATTACTGACTAATATAATCCAGTGCATTCTCAAACAATACATTTTGTCCAATGGCTTTCATTTTACAAATAGAAATTTTAGAAAACCTGAAAAATACTTACTGTAATTGTTTTTCATAAAATGGCTTTTAAAACTAAAAGTTGACTTACAGGTGAAACTGACTTTAACACTGACGTAGACTTGGCTTTTCAGGATGCTCACATTAGTAACACTATCAACTTGTGCAAAAAATTTTGTTTTTAATTATTTTTTTTATAATGAGTGGGTACTCATGTGGGCACAGCATGCAGTTGGAGTCAGAAGACAACTCTGCCGAGTCAGTACTATCGTTCACCTTTCCTGGGTCCTGGTGACCGAACTCACATCTGCAGGCATGTGCACCTCTGCCAGCTGAGCCATCTCACCTGTTCTAGTTTCATTCTGAAGATCTAACTGAGCAAGTCTAGAGTCCAGCACCGCAAGAAATATCAGTAAGACAAAACTAATTATAATGGTTGTATTTACAATTGCCTTCACAGTTTAATTACAATAGAGCATTTGATTTTTTTGGCACATGTCTTACTTTCCTCAGAAAATTAATACGATCAGTTGTGATGATGGAATGGAGATGTCTTTATGGACTTTGACCAGAAGCATAAAAATACTTTATTGTTTTAGTGATATTTTTCCTAGTGACTGAGTTTGTATAAATTTTTTCTCTTGAAAACAATTTGTTTAGCTTTCTGGCATAATTATTCCATTCTCTTAAAATACCCAATTTATATACATTAGACAGGCAGATGATGTTAACTTCTTAAAGTTTGATTGTAAAGTTAAGGACAAAAAATTACGTTTTAAAATTCCAGATTAATTAACTGAAACATGATTTCTTTTTAAGATAGTCTGACATAGCCTAAGATGGACTATAATTCATTATATAGACAGGAAGACCCTGAACTCCTGATCCTCCTGCCTTCACCTCTCGAGTGCTGGGATCACAGGTGTGAGTTATCATGAGCATCTGAATTAGAATAAATTGATTCAAGGTTATAAAGTTCTCAGTACAAAGAGATTAGACTTCTTGTAGCCTCTTTTCAAACCACCCCTTGGATGCTTAATGGGATAAGCAGACAGTGTCTCATTAAACATGGTTTAACTGTTAAAAGAGAGCCTCTTCAAGGAAACTTGGAAATAATAGAAAGATGCACTCTTGTTAGGGGTTACCCAACCAACATAGAATATGTTCACTTCCAGACTTCAGAAAGTGTCGCACGTGAAAGTCAGAAATTCAAAGGGAGTCACTGTCAACACAATTTTGATAGATATCCCAGTGAATGGCAGAGAGGACAGAAAGCAACAAGAACAAAAATACATGCTATTGTTTGTTTACTGGAAGTGCTGGGGATGGAACCTGGAGCCATGTGCATGGTATGCAAGTGCCCTACAACTAAGCCAAATCCCTACCCAATACTATCTTTTAATATAGATTTTCAACTCTGGTATGGATTTGCTTTATGATAAGGAATTGTTCCATGTGCTATCTTCTCCCCAAGGCGTAGACTCTCTCAGTATTAACGAACTAATGTACATGAAGGATTCAATGACTTCCATGAAGTGAGCTGACAAATGATCTTCAGGACTTACCTGAAGACTTCTAAAATTTCTCACTACGTAAAAAAGTGAAACCAATCCACAATAGGTACAAATTATATACATTTATTAATAATTTTAAATAACACTCTTGTATAAATTCTTTCATATATTCAAATCATACACAAATTTAGAAATGCATCATGAAACCTAGTACAGTACACATATGAGACATGTTTTTAATTTTGGGTTAGGATTTTAGTGACATAAATATAAGTTTTATGTTTTAGAAACATTCCCTAATTAATTGGGTTGAAATTTAAGAGTACAGAGTGCTGTGCCTAGCATTACAATTGACTAGAAGTCACTTAGCTTTGGGCTAGCTTGAATCTGAAGCTCTGGGCTCATTCCAGGGCTGCTGCAGTTTCTGCATATGCATAAGTAACAAGAAAGATCCCCAAGGCCTTTGAAAAATTATCATTCAAACCACTGACATTTTAATGATATATAACCGTTAGCCATTAGATATTATTTGTTTGACTTCTTCAGCCTGATAACTTTTTCTTGCTTCTTCCCATGGCACAGTCACTGGCTCAGAGTGAAAGAAAACAA